ACCTCATATAAGTGGAATTGTACAGTATTTGTCCTTTTGTGACTGGCTTATTAACTTCGCATAAAGTCCTTAGGGATCATCCATGTCATACTATGTGTCAGAATCCCTTTCCCTTTTAAGGCTGAATAATCTTATTTTGTGTGTATAAACCACAATTTGTTTATCTATTCATTTGTCAATGGACATTTGGGTTGCTTCTACCTTTTGGTATTATAAATAATGTTACTATGAACATGGATGTACAAACAGCTCTTTGAGCCCTTGCTTTCAATTCTTTTGGTTACATACCTAGAAACAGAATTGCTGAATCATATGGAAGTTCTATTTTTAATCTTTTGAGAAATGTCCATACCATTTTCCAAAGCAGCTGCAAAATTTTTTATAATAGAGATGGGGTCTTGCTATGTTGCCCAGGCTGATCTCGAACTCCTGGGCTCAAGCAGTCCTCCTGCTTCAGCCTCCCAAAGTGCTGGAATTACAGATGTGAGCCCCTGTGCCTGGCCCACAACTTTACATTCTTACCCACAGTGCCCCAGAATTCTACTTTCTCCACACCCTCACCTACACTTGTTATTTCCGTTTTATTAACAGTAGCCATCCTTACGGATATGAGGTGGTGTCTTATTGTGGCTTCGATTTGCATTTTCCTAATGACTAATGATGTTGATCATCTTTTCATGTACTGTGGGCCATTTGTGTATCTTCTTTGGAGAAATGTCTACTTAAATCCTTTGCCCATTTTAAAATAGGGTTTTTTTTTGGTAGTTGTTTCTGCTTAAATCTTTTATTTGCAATAAGTGAATCAAATCCTCACCCTCTTTTATTTTTACTATTCTGTCATGAGAATAGAAGTGTCATGAGAGAGATGCTTTCCTACTTAGAAATACTTAGCGATAGAATGAATGTTACTCTCAGGAAACCTTGAAGTTGGAAAGGTAGCATTTTATTATTAAACCCCAGATTACTATTGGCTGCCCAGAACTCTCCAAGAAGTTTTGATATACATGAAGTCTTTAATAAAGAGATTATTATTTATATTATTCATCTCATTCATTTCAGTTCAACAACATTGACAAAAGCATCTACTACTTAGCAGGCATTGTGCCATAAATACATGAGACTTCAAGGAAAATAGACACAAAATATTTTAACTTTTTTTTGAGACGGAGTCTTGCTCAGTCACCCAGGCTGGAGTGCAGTGGCGTGATCTCGGCTCACTGCAGCCTCCGCCTCCCAGGTTCAAGCAATTCTCCTGCCTCAGCTCCCCGAGTAGCTGGAACTACAGGCACACACCACCATGCCCGGCTAATTTTTGTATTTTTAGTAGAGACAGAATTTCATCGTGTTGGCCAGGATGGTCTTGAACTCCTGACCTTGTGATCCACCTGCCTCGGTCTCCCAAAGTGCTGGGATTACTCCCAAAGTGGGTAGCATAAGCCACCATGCCTGGCTCAACTCTTACTCTTTCTTTTGCTTATTTATTTAAGACAAGGTCTCTAGCTCTGTTCCCCAGGCTGGAGTGCAGTGGCACAGTACTAGCTCACTGCAACCTCTGCCTCCCAGGCAGAGGTTCATGCGATTCTCATGCCTCAGCCTCCCAAGCAGCTGGGATTGCATGTGTCACCATGCCTGGCTAATATTTTTATATATATTTTTTAGTAGACATGGGGTTTCACTATGTTGGCTTGGCTGGCCTCAAACTTCTGGTCTCAAGTGATCAGCCCACATCAGCCTCCCAAAATGCTGGGATTAGAGGCGTGAGCCACTGTGCCCAGCCTGTTTTAACGCCTTTGATCCAACCCATAAACTAGACTCTGGGCCACTATTTTTGGAGATGTATATATTCTTGAATGAGGAGTTAAAAACTACAGAGTTCTTCTGATCTTTCCTGCCAGGCCTTCCCCTTCTGAAGGAGAACATAGGAATCCTTAGGTAAGCCTGATCTTTGGGTTGGGCCTCTCAATTTTCCCACCGTACCCAGGTGAAACGCACCCGCCATCTGAAAAATCTAGAATTAAAAAAAATTCTTGGTAAGGTTTTGGAGCAACTCCCTATACAAGGCTATCATTTCTGCTTTTAAATAGGCTATAGTTCGTTCAGAAAAAAAAACTGGTTGCAACTTGTTAAATCATATACAAAAATCTCAATCAGTTTTAAAAATATGAACAGCAAGCCCCAGGATTTCCTATATTGGTATACGTCTTTGCCAGACAATCAGTCTCTTGTCTATACATACTCTCCATATATTTTGTGTTCTAAGTCTGAGCATAAACTGAAATTCCCAAGAAGTTATTGTATGTGAAATTATTCTTAATATCTGGAGCCTGCATTAGGAACAATGTATAATCCCATGGGCTAGGCTCTTGGCCTCACAGAGTGTTCCTCCTGGAAAGGTCCCTGAAGGTTACCTAGTCAAATCACCCTGGTGTTCCACAGGGAAACCGAAACCCAGAAAGGGGAGTCATTTTCTCAGTGGCATAAAGTCACCAGGTGCTCAGATTCTGCATAGGGCTCATTCTATGCCCTAGCTCCTTTTCCCCACAAATGCCTTTCTGTGATACTTCGTGATGCTATATTTTTCTATTTATTGAAGGTGAAAACAATCATGTTGCTGAAAATCCTTGTAATATATACTTGAGTGCCTTAAATAAAAGGCTCTGTGTTAATAAAATCTAGAGGTCAACTCAAGAAAAACTGTTGCCAGAATGAGAACCAGATGGCCAACTTCTAGAGAAAGTGCTTCCAGGCACCTCTGAGTAACTCTCCATATTTGAGAACAAAGGCCTTTCTAGAGAAGAAAAACCATTAAAGTCCTTCTTAGTCCAAGCCTGGTCAGGACCCCAGTCTAAAATTCACCCCAAATGGGTGCGGTGCTTTGTTTTGTATTAAGCAAGATTAAGTTACACTAATGTGCTTTGGATTAAGACCTTGATATCAACCCAAACACATCTAGGTCCATAGAACAACCGAAAAGTGACTTTCAAGCAGAATTTACGGTAAAAGTTTAAGCAGAAGTGACAGAGAAGAATAGAAGCCTGGATAAGCCCAGGAGAAGAGTGAGGCCCAGGCACACCCCAGAATCGTGACACTTACTGCCACCGTCCATCTGGAATCATGTGGATGACTAACAGTACAGTCTATTTTTTCAGGAAGGTTATAAAAATCTATGGGCTTCACACTGCATGTAATGTGGGTGAGGTAACAAGCTGGTGAGAATTTTTCCTTCTGCATTTCCTGATTTAGGGAAGAGTGGTGGGGTAAAAAGGTGTATTATGCTTATTACTCAATCTGTATTATTTGGTCTAGTATTGGTTGCTTGGGCAAAAGTTACTCTCCTACACTGAATATGGAACCCCCTACCAAATCTTGTTCAGGTCCTCGAAGAATCAGTGAAACCATTTTCCTTCCTGATAAATCAGATTGTCTTGTATCTAGTTGTATGGATCCATAAATTAAAATACAGAGGGTCATTTTCTCTGATCCGGAAATGCTTGGTTTGGGAGTAGTTAAAATGAAACTTCTGAAATTCTATCCTTAGTATGGACATTTAGGACCCAGGGGCTACATCCTAGAATGGAATATTGCCCTGTTTCCATAAAACAGTTCATAAACCAAAAGACACGACTGGAGTGTCTTAAACCAAGTTTAATTGTCATTCTGTTTTTATCAAAAAGTAAATAGGATTCAGCATATACGAATATATTGACTATCAGTACAACTGAGCCATACAACTGATGGTCTAAGGCTGATGACAAGAAGAAAGCTCCTAAAACAAGACTTGGGGAAGGCTGTTACCCTCCAGGAGCAAAGCAGGCTGAGGGCATTGGTGGTGCAGCAGCTGCATAAGTGGAGGGAAGTTCTGATGTATCAAGTACTAAGGAAAGCACACACAGAGTGTCTGGAAAAAATCAAAAGATGCTCGAAGGAAGTAGTCATGGATAATTCTAGAAATTTCTAGAACACCGACTGGAGGGGGTCATTGTTTACCTAAGATGAGTAAAGCCGTGTTTCTCTCCAATTTAAGACACAAGACTGGAGAGAAAGGAGTCGTAGTAAACAGTCCCTACTGGGGAGCTGGGGGTGTGATAACGAGACGTGTGAAGGGGCATTAGGGACAGTAAGAAAAGGAGAGTTGGGGTGATGATCACTGACTGAGCACTGCTATAGGAGGAGGCTCTCGCAGGGATAATCAAGCGAGAGGGGTGTAAAGTAAGGGTCAGGAATTGTAAGAGTAAAGTGTGGGAAGGGGCTGCGCAGACGTCTACAGCAAAGAAAAAGAGAAGGGACGGGGTTGGGGCGTGGCCCAGAAAAGGAACAGCTCAATAACGGGCCACCGGGTGAAAAGCAGCCGGGTGGGGAGGCGCTCTGCTGACAGCTGCTGCTCCCGCACGGCGCCCACAGGGTTAAAAACCAGGGGCCACGGGACCAGGCCGAACTCGGTTTCCAGGGCAACAGCTCCACAGTTCCGGCAGCGCAGGCCCGTACCATTGCGCGGGCGCGGGGGAGCGGGAGCGGCGGAGGGGACGCGCCGCAGGGCGGCGGAGCCGGGGCCGGCCCGGACGCTACCAAACGCGCGGCCCGCCTGCTCGCCCGGCGTTTGCGCCGAGCCGCGCTCCGGCCGGGCGGCCGCGGCGTCCTCGGTGCGGGGGCCGGCAGCTCCCAAGTGGCCACGGACGGCGGGGGAGAAGGAACACGCGTCGCCGGCCGGGATTGGCCTCCTGGTCCCCCCGCCTGGGCGGCGGAGTGCGGGCGGCCCGGGGCTGGGAGGTTTGAAAAGCGGGCGAGAGACAAAGGCAGCAGGAAGCCTCCTCGGCGCCCGGAGTCCGTGCGCCCGGCCCCGGGGCCCCCTCGCCGCCCGCCGGCCCGCGGAGCAGCGGCGGCGGCAGGAGGCGGAGGATGCGGCAGGGGGCGTGGGCGCGGCGGCGCGGGCGGAGCGGCGCGGCCCGGGCGCGGCGTGGGTAGAGCCGAGGCGGCGGCGGCGGCCGGCCTCCGGGAGCGAGAGCAAGGCGCCTTCCCCGCCCGGGATGTGAACGCCGCTCTGAGCCCGGGGCGGGGGAGGGCCGGGCCGGAGGCGCAGTCGGCAGGAAGGAAGGACGGACGGACCAGGAGGAGGAGCGGCGGCGGCGGCCGGAGCCGGAAGGCGGGGAGGGGCCGGCCGTTGGGCCCGAGGCGGCGGCAGCGGCTGGGGAGAAGCGCTCTCGTCGCCTGCCGGGGGCCAGAGCGGTGGGGCCCGCGCCTCCTCCCCCCAGCGCCGCGGAGGGGGGAGGAGGAAGATGGAGACCCATATATCGTGCCTGTTCCCCGAGCTGCTGGCCATGATCTTCGGCTACCTGGACGTCCGGGACAAGGGGCGCGCGGCGCAGGTGTGCACGGCCTGGCGGGACGCCGCCTACCACAAGTCGGTGTGGCGGGGGGTGGAGGCCAAGCTGCACCTGCGCCGGGCCAACCCGTCGCTGTTCCCCAGCCTGCAGGCCCGGGGCATCCGCCGAGTGCAGATCCTGAGCCTCCGCCGCAGCCTCAGCTACGTGATCCAGGGCATGGCCAACATCGAGAGCCTCAACCTCAGCGGCTGCTACAACCTCACCGACAACGGGCTGGGCCATGCGTTTGTGCAGGAGATCGGCTCCCTGCGTGCTCTCAACCTGAGTCTCTGCAAGCAGATCACTGACAGCAGCCTTGGCCGCATAGCCCAGTACCTCAAGGGTCTGGAGGTGCTGGAGCTGGGAGGTTGCAGCAACATTACCAATACCGGCCTTCTGCTTATCGCCTGGGGTCTACAGCGCCTCAAGAGCCTTAACCTCCGCAGCTGCCGCCACCTTTCGGATGTGGGCATCGGGCACCTGGCTGGCATGACGCGTAGCGCGGCGGAGGGCTGCCTGGGCCTGGAGCAGCTCACGCTGCAGGACTGCCAGAAGCTCACAGATTTGTCTCTAAAGCACATCTCCCGAGGGCTGACGGGCCTGAGGCTCCTCAACCTCAGCTTCTGCGGGGGCATCTCGGACGCTGGCCTCCTGCACCTGTCGCACATGGGCAGCCTGCGCAGCCTCAACCTGCGCTCCTGTGACAACATCAGTGACACGGGCATCATGCATCTGGCCATGGGCAGCCTGCGCCTCTCCGGGCTGGATGTGTCGTTCTGTGACAAGGTGGGGGATCAGAGTCTGGCTTACATAGCCCAGGGGCTGGATGGCCTCAAGTCCCTCTCCCTCTGCTCCTGCCACATCAGTGATGATGGCATCAACCGCATGGTGCGGCAGATGCACGGGCTGCGCACACTCAACATTGGACAGTGTGTGCGCATCACGGACAAGGGCCTGGAGCTGATCGCTGAGCACCTGAGCCAGCTCACCGGCATAGACCTGTACGGCTGCACCCGAATCACCAAGCGCGGTCTGGAGCGCATCACGCAGCTGCCCTGCCTCAAGGTACTCAACCTGGGACTCTGGCAGATGACGGACAGTGAGAAGGTCAGGTGAGGGCGGCAGCACCAGCTCCCCTTGTCCCGCCCTGTTCATCCTCCCATCACCACCGTCCCCCACACACTCACACGCACACGTATGCACAGATCATTGCAGAGGATGAGATGGGGCTGTGACAGAAGCCTCAGGCTCGTTTTATCCTCCCTCTTCCAACCCCCTCCCGGCTTCCAGCCCATTCTCTTTGCAGCTGGGGTTCCTACCCTACCCTACTCCCAGCTCCTTTTCCCTGCGGATGGAGAGATGGACTCTGCTGCTTACCCACACACTCCCCTTCAGGGGGTGGAGGACTGATTCAGCTACTGTATCCCCACTGCTACGACTGGAAATAGGGGTGGGGAGTGACTTGGCTTTTCAACCCTGGGGAGCTGAGGAAAATGTCTGCCTTCACTTCAGCTTTCATTTGAATACTGTGATCTGGTTTTTATTTTGAAATGTATAAAAAGCAAACCCAGCTACAATGGCCTTTTCACCCTTCTTCCACTTTGTGACTAATCCCCGTCTTCTCATCACTCCTTTTACAGTACTCTGCTATTCACGCTCATTTCATTGTCTTAATTTTCTTTCCTTTTTAAAAATTTTTTTGGAAGTAATTTGAAACCATGGTCCTTTTTTTCTGCTGAATATATTCTATATATTATATATATATAAATTATATATATATATATATACATATATGTGTCTGGCTACCTCGTTTTAGTTTACTTTTTTTCTGAAGCCCTGGAATTCTACAAGAGAGATATTTTGAGACTGAAACATGTTTGTGCCTAGACTGGAAAGATGCCCTTGGGTTTGTCCGTCTTTTTGTGTTGGCTTCTTCCCAGCCTCCATACGTCCAGTGTGCCCCACTTCCACATTCTGGCTATAATTTCTTTCTTCTCCTTGTCCATTGGGATGTGAGGACCTGTTTCTAAAGCTTGACTTAATTTATAGCACAAATACGTGGGCGCAATGAGAGCTGAACCGTTGTTTTTGTTTGAGATGCAGATTGTTCTCGAAAATGATGATTATATATGCAAATTCTGTCCTACCCTCATCCTCTTCCACGTTTCCCCACTAAAAGGTCACACAGTGCGGCTTCCACAGGAAGCAGGAGCAGAGCTGGCCTGCAGAGCCCCAGGGCTGTGATGAAGCTCATGTCTTATCTCTGTTCTATTAACAAAATGAGAGTTTGTGGGTTTAAAAAAAATTCTGTTTCTGAATGGAGGAATAGATGACTTTCTTTACTTTGGTGGGGATTGGGACTTGTGGCTTTAAAGAAATCACTTTTGAGTAGGATGTATATTTTTGTTGGATTTTTGTTGTTTATTTTTTTAGAATCCTCCACAGCAACATGCGAGACCATGGAGTTAAAAGAAACCCAGAGACCTTTATCAATTAATTGTACTGTTTGTGAATTTGTATAAATAATAACAAAGATCCTCTTAAAACGTTTATATTCTTACAGTAAAAGGTTAAACTGATATTTATATAATAAAAGAGGAAATATGAAGTATGTTTTTGAAAAAAAAAAAAAAAAAACAGCCTTGTATCTGCGAATTATTTTTAAGGCATTGTGTGCTTGGGTACATGCCAAGGTAGGAGGTGCTGTTTGTATACTCTAAGAGGACGCAAGGTGGAGTTTGGTGCATCCTATGTGAGGGTGAGTCAGCTCATGGGTAAAATTTTATTCTGTATAAGGTTTACTACTTCCATGTTTTGTTTCTAGAAATGTGATTAGACTGGAGATTTATATAATTTTTGGCTTTAAACTGTCAACGTGGAAATTTTAAAAAATTGAACAAAATGAAACTTTTTTAAAAACCAGATTTGTATGTAAGTCACAGTTTCCCCGAGTGGTCAGTTTTTCTTTGGGTAAAAGAGAGATCTAGGGGTGATGTTGAAAAAGTGGATCATGAGATGTGGATGTGGGGAAGAAAGATGGATTTCTTTGCCCTGGGTGTGGGGAGGATGTGAAGGTGGAAGGACTGAAGCCATTGTTCAGAAAAGTTAAAAAGAGCACTGTCCTTGCGTGCTTGCCGACTCAGTCATGCATACTGAATCTCCCAGTGTGAGTGAGGGTCCTGGTGGAAAGGAGGAGGGCAGCTCTAGCCCTCTTTTTAACATTCCCCTCCAGGCCCGGCTGTAAGGAAGCACTTTCCTGGGGGATGGGGAGCTTGGCCAGGATTCTTGCACATTTGCATTTTAGCACTTCCAACAGCCAAGGCTGGCCACTGGATTCACTCTGTCAAGGTTTTTTAGACTGAAACCAGGGCAGATTAATGAATACCAGCAATTCCAGCAAAGAGTTCCCTTTGGTAGACAATAACGAAATAATCTGACATCCTGTGGTTTGGCTGTGGAGACCTATGGGTATGAATGCTCCAGCAGAGGAGTGGTTCATATTCCTGGTTTCACATTGGTCTTGGTTGTTTCTGAGATTGTTTTCAAAAAAATACCGATCTCAGCAAGAGCTGATAAGAGTGGTATAAAACTTTCCTGGATCAACCCCTCTTTCCAGGAAGAGGGCTAGGACCCAGGTTTCTCTTTGGGATAAGATTGTTTTGTAAAATGTCCAAGCTTTCTGCGTGAGCATATCACAAAAGCTGCATTGTTCCTCTTTGGAGAGCCATCACAATTGGGTCTAATTGAGCCTGACACTAGATCCATCTTGTGTTTCTTTGGGGAAGGTGTGGATCTCTTTCTTCCCACTTAGGTTACAGTGCTTAATGCCTGGAAAAAAAAAATGTGTGAAGCCTATTAAGAAGTAGGGACTCTGAATTAGGGTCAGCTTTCTAATTTAGCATTTGACACAACTCATAAAGGTTACACAAGCTGTGAGTTCTTAGTCTGTTTTTCTTCCAAGAGACTGCATGGCTGTATAGATTCAACTGATAAAAATGTGAGCACCTAAGTCTTAGGCTCTGTATTCATATTCTTCATTTTAATATGCAAAATAATCCTACCACCTGTAACTTGAAGCTTGTTCTGTTTTGTCTCGTTTTTATGTTAAATGTTAAAAATAAGCTTGACTAAAGGTTGGCAAATTAATGTTTGAAAGTTAAGACCATGGGTCTATAGTTATCCTGAATGAGGCATACTTAATAGAGCTGGAGCTTCTCTGGAAACGATGATAAGCTATGATAAACTACACAGAGTGGTTAGTGAAGGTCAATTGCAGATCTCTCAGCCTTTTTGGATGGAAAGCAGTTAATGTGTTGAGAACCTATGTGTGCTCTACAAGGTACTTGTAAGTTTTGTTTTTTTTTTTTTTTTTTTTGAGATGGAGTTTCACTCTTGTTACCCAGGCTGGAGTGCAGGGCTCACGGCAACCTCCACCTAGTTTTAATCTTCAAAGCAACCTGCTGAAACAGGTATTATCCTTGTTTTCCAGAGAAGTCATAATGCCTGTGGTAAGTTACCCAACCAGTAAGTGTGGGAGCCAGGATTCAAACCTAGGCTCCATTTCCCTCCCTCCTTCCTTCCCTTCCTCCTTTTTTTCTTTTCTTTTTTTTTTTTTGACAGGGTCTTGATCTGTCACCCAGGCAGCAGTGCAGTAGTACAATCAGTCACAGCCCACTGCAGCCTTGACTTCACAGGCTCAAGTGATCCTCGCACCTCAGCCCCCCGAGTAGCTGGGACTACAGTCACAAACCAACCACTATGGCTGGCTTTTTTTTTTTTTTTTTTTTTTTTTGTAGAAACGGTTTCATCCTGTTGCCCAGACTGGTCTTAAACTCCTGGGCTCAAGCAATCTGCCCACCTTGGGCTCCCAAAGTCCTGGGATTACAGGTGTGAGTCACTCTGCCTGGCCCAGGCTCCATTTCTCAAGTTCAGCTCACTTCTGCTTGATGAGAAGGTTTAGTTACTTGTCATACCTTGGTTTCCAGTAAGATGACCCTCATAGAAATGAATGGTAGCTGTTTGAACCACCGTATGAACAAGCTTATGCCATAGGGCACTACTTCAAAGGGAATAAGGGTGATTCTTGGTGGTATGAAAGGTTGATCCCCACCATACCCACAGGAATGGGAGAAATGCATTAAAGGATAGAAGAGCTGGCTGGGCACAGTGGCTCAGGCCTGTAATCCCAGCACTTTCGGAGGCCGAGGCGGGTGGATCACAAGGTCAGGAGTTCAAGACCAGCCTGACCAACATGGTGAAAACCCATCTCTACTAAAAATACAAAATTTAGCTGGGCATGGTGGCACATAGCTGTACTCTCAGCTACTAAGGAGGCTGAGGCAGGAGAATCATTTGAACCAGGGTGTCAGGTGGAGGTGGAGGTTGCAGTGAGCTGAGATTTCGCCACTGCAGTCTAGCCTGGGTGATAAGAGCGAGACTCTGTCCCAAAAAAAAAAAAAAAAAAAAAAAAAATACGGAAGAGCTAAAGGACATGAGCTGATAGTACACTTTATGTGGTGGTACAAAAGTTGAAAGGCACTCCAGGGCGGTTCTAAAATAACAACCTTGGTTCAGGTATTTGCTGAAACTTGAGCACTGAAAAAACATAGTGTAAACTTTGTGTAAACCTTATCATTTAGAAGTAATAAACCTCAACAGAAACTGGGTAGTCAAGGGACAGCTTCATTTCCCTTCTTTTTCTAAGTCTCATCATGCGTAGCCCTTTAATGTTCTTACTAAAAAGATTATCTACAAATGTACCTGTGGGGGCTCAGAGAGCTGCCGCTGCTCCCAAGCTAGGCCTCTAACTTGTCCAACTTAATATTTACTAAAACTGAAAGCCAGTATCAGTGTATCCTTAAATAGTTCAGAAAACTCAAACTGATCAGGTTCTTTTATAATTCAGTTGAACAGCCAAGATATAAGAAAGCAAATGTTCCTTTTTCTTTTGAAAGGTACGAACTTTCTCTTATGTTAGGACAAGTGTTGTGTAAATTAAAGCATGGCCTAGCTTCCAAATCCTGCTGCTTTCCTGAAGGGGTCACTAGATAGGTGCTGGTCTTAAAATATAAATAAAACCTTTCACTTTTGACTTAGAGAATTTGAATTCAAG